TTTTTACCCATCTCCTGAACCCTGTCCCCATCTGGCAACTGTCAAAAAGTTTTCTGTGGCTATCCATATATTTCTGTCTGCTTATTCATTTATTTTGTTTTCTATATTCAATTGTTGACAGGTATGTATTTATTGCCATTTTATTGTTCATATTTATTCTCCTCCTTCCCCTTCCCCTTCCCCTCCTCTTCCTTCATCCTCCTCCTCTCCTTCTTCTCCTTCTCCTTCTCCTCCTTCCCCTTCCCTTTCCCTTTCCCCTTCCTTCTTTTTCTCCTCCTCCTCCTCCTCCTCCTCCTCCTCCTCCTCTTCTTCTTTGACCCTTTAACATTTCATGTTTGGTGGTGATGAACTTCTTTAGCTTTTTCTTGTCTGAGAAGCTCTTTATCTGACCTTCAATTCTAAATGATAGCTTTGTTGGGTACAGTAATCTTGGATGTAAGTCCTTGCTTTTCAGCACTTTGAATATTTATTGCCACTCCCTTCTGGCCTGCAAAGTTTCTGTTCAGAAATCAGCTGACAGTTTTATGGGAGCTCCCTTGTAGGTAACTAACTGATTTTTCTCTTGCTGCTTTTAAGATTCTCTCTTTGTCTTTAACTATTGGCATTTTAATGATGATGTGTCTTGGTGTGGGCCTCTTTGGGTTCTTCTTGTTTGGGTCTCTCTGCACTTCCTGGACTTATATGTCTATATGTCTATTTTCTTCACCAAGTTAGGGAAGTTTTCTGTCATTATTTTTCAAATAGGTTTTCAATTTCTTGCTCCCTCTCTTCTCCTTCCAGCGACCCCTATGAAGCAAATGTTGGTACACTTGCAGCTGTCCCAAAGGCTCCTTACAGTATCCTCATTTTTTTTTTCTGTTCTGATTGAGTGGTTTTTTTTTCCCTTCCTTATCTTCCAAATAGCTGATTTGATTCTTGGTTTCATCTACTCTACTGTTGATTCCCTGTAAAGTAGTCTTCATTTTAGTTAGTGTGTCCTTCATGGTTCTTTTTCATGGTTTTTATGTTACTTTTTATGCTGTTGAAGTTCATCTACTCTTCCCCTAAGTTCAGTGAACATCCTTATAACCAGTGCTTTGAATTCTGTGTCTAGTAGATTACTTGTCTCCATTTTGTTTAGTTCTCTTTCTGGAGTTTTGTTGCGTTCTTTCATTTGGGACATATTTCTTTGTCTCCTCACTTTGGCAGCCTCCTGTGTTTCGTTTTATGTATCAGGTGGAGCTCCTACCTCTCCTAGGCTTGGTGGAGTGGCCTAAGGTAGTAGGTGTTATGGAGCATCCAGTGGCACAGCCTCCCTGTTCACACAGGCCAGGCATTTGAAGTGTGCACCCGTATGGGTTTGTACACCCTCCTCTTGTAGTTGAGCCTTAATTGCTGTTGGCACATCAAAGGTGTGATCACCTACAACCAACCTCTAACCACCATAGAGGATCAGCTGTGTAGGGGCCCACCCCAGAGAACAGGACTGACTTCAGCAGGGCTCTGGTGCCTGCTGAGTCTGCCCTTTGACTGTGTTGCTTGTGGAGGTGGTTGGGTGGTGATGCTTTGACGTGGTCTGAAGCTGTCCACTGGGTGCAATGGCCCTGGGGCCTCCCAGGAGGTGCAGGTCAAGGTCAGCTGCTGCCTGTGTTCTGCCTGTCACCATCCAGCATGAACTACAAAGCAATCTGTAGATGGCTGCTACTTGTGCTGGGCTTGGAGGTACCCAAAGAGGCCATGCTTTGAACCAAGGCTGGTTATACTAGCGCTAGATCTGGGGCCACTTAGCCAGAGTTATGGGACTTGCTGAGGCCAAATGCTGCTTGTTTGGAAAATCTGAAGCATGATCCAAGACAGGCCATTTGTATGGAAAAGCCACTGGAAACAGCTTTGGTGAGCCTGAAAGTTGGGTGTGGTTGGGTGTGGTGGGGTCTCAGGGAATCGGTTGGGGGGGGCAAACAGTGTGAGCCAGGATGATGGAGACTCAGATATAGCACCCGCCTGCTGGCTCTGTGTATATGTGTGTGTTGGGGAGGGTTCCAGAAAAGGAACAGTGGCCTCTGCCAGCACTACCTCCAGCTCTCTCCCTGATGTTGGACAATTCGGTTTCTCCCTGTGTGTCTCTGGTGCCTTTCAAGCTGCTGCCCCTGTGCTGAAGCTCAGAGGGAGTGAGTCAAAGTGAGTCCATGTGCAGGCCCTTTAAGAGGAACTGTCTGGGACTCCAGCAGCCTCTGTCTTCCTCAGCCACAGTCTCCACTGGTTTTAATATCCACAAGTTATGGGGACTTCTCACCTGGCACTGGAACTCTTGGCCGGGGGGCCCGGGACCCCTCACTCCTCAGGGGGATCTCTGCAGCCCAAATCTCTCTCCTGATTTTTACGTACTACATGTGGATGTGGGACCAGCCCTTTCTTCATCTCCACTCCTTCTATTAGTCTCGATGTAGGACTTCCATTCAGCTAGATTTTAGGCAGTTCTGAATGATGGCTGATCTGTAGTTTAGTTATAATCTTGATGTGGTTGTGGGAGGAGGTGAGTACTGTGTTTATCTACAATGCTATCTTGACAGGAAGTCTGTGTATACAGAATGTCCCAAAAAATGTATATACAGGTTAACAGCTGATTCTATTACATTTTGCAAATGAAATGTATTTTAATAAACAATGCCTTTATAATTATTTTAAAAATATTTTCTTAGGCCACAGAGTATGTGCATTTTAAAAGGTCTTAATGAGACAGGCTAGTAAGCCAGGACAAGTGGGTTAGGGAAACTGAGACAGATAATTAAATGGCCAAGCAGTTTACAGCCATCTAGCAAATCACAAAATCCTATCTTCCCTAACTACCCAAGGACACTGAGGAGCAAATGGTTTACATTTCTCCCCAACCAGAGGGTAAATAACTTAAATCATCCTACTCAGGGAGACAGCAGAAATCCCATTAGTGCCAACCACACCCAAGGACATGAAATTAAGAAAATAAACCTCATTTTGGCACATAAACATGAACTGATGAATATTCTATTGAGATCCTCCCCTAAATGCCCAGCCTTTAAAACCCTCAAGTTGAAGGAACCAGGGTGCACTCTCCCTCCCAGGAGTACGCCCATGTCTTTCCACCCTCTCAGACTTGCAAGCAGAGGAGCAATGGGCAGCAGCAACGCTTCCCAAGATAACCCCCTGACACTACCTCCAAGCCCCCTTTTCTCTAACTTTCCAGTGAACCAGAGCAGCCCTGCCTGGCTCATTTCTTTCCTATAACATTTTTAGAGCCAAAGCAGCCCCACCTAGACTTTCTGCTGTTGCTTCTATCTTAGGCCCTTCCTTTCTTCACTGTCCCCAGCTTTAACACACATACTCTCAGATTCACCTGGACTTGGTATGTGAAATCTTTCCTGTGTGAAGTCAAGAACCACCCACTATTGGCCAGCCTGGGACAGACCAGCTCAGGTCCCTGTCTGGGAGGCTGGGTCGGTGTCCACCACTCCAACCAGTGTTAGTGGCTTATTTTTGTCACTTTCACATGAAGGCCATTAGGAGCTGCTGACAAATTTTTAGTAGACAGGTAATGGCTAGTTTTACAATTTCAATTCCAGCTTCAGGGCCTGATAGCTCTGTGAGCCGAATTTGGCCCCTAGGAGGCATTCAAGACAATGGTGACCCTCTGCAAAGTGAGGCAAGTTTGGGTGAAGAGACCCAAGAAGCAGGTCTCTAACCTGCTGCTGTGGAGCTAGCAATTCAGGGCTTCCTGTGACAGGCAGAGGGAATACTCAGGATTCTTTTCTTTTTTCTTTTAAATCTTTACCCAAGGACATATTTTTATGTGCCCTGACTGGGAACTGCACCCACAACCTTTTGGTATGAGACAACGCTTCTACCAACTGAGCCACCCGGCCTGGGCCCAAGGTCTCTTCTGTATCAGGCCTCAGAGTCTTGCTAGTCCCTCTGCTTAACGCCCGTTTTCTCTATACGTCTCAGAATACTTGCAGCTCCTCTTTCCTGAGCATTACCGTGTGTCAGACCCTTTTCTATGCACCTCCGGCAGCATCTCCTCTCAGGTTGGTACTAGTACATTGCTGTACCTGTTTTGCAGATGAGATAATTGAGGCAGAGAGAGGTTAAGCACCTCTTCTGTGGTTACCTTGCTGGTAATTTTGGCCTCCACCCAGGTTCACTAGTCTGCGGGGCCTGTGCTTTCCACCACGGAGCTTCCCTGCCTCGGGCTGCTTCCCTGGGACATTAGCTGGACTCTGACCTCTCAGAATGCTTTTGTTTATAGTATAATTTTAAGACATCAGGTTATTGAGTGTGTGTGTGTTTTATTTAAAAAGGCCAGATTTCTCTTCCTATTTCCTGCTTTCCCCAAAATATTAAGACCTGAATGTTCGATTATAAGTTCACTGAGGGCAGGGCCCATATCATATTCGTCTCTGTGTGAAACTGCCCACCACAGTGATCAGAGCCTGGCTGCCCCCGTCTGATGTGATGTTAAAAGAGCAAGTTTTCCCTAGATTCAATCTGAT